ACTCAACCTATCATCTCCCTTTGCCAGGGACGCTGCTGAGAGCTCTCCGTAACCTCATTTAATCCTCCCAATATTTCGATCCCATTTTACAGTTGGGGTACTGGGGCACAGAGAGGTTAAGTGATTTGCCTAGGGCCACACAGCTAGAAAGGGGCAGAGTCACGAGGTGGCCGCGTAGGATAGCACCAAAGGACGCAGGATCTGAGTTGTATGGCCTGGGCTCAACCATCCCCACCATCTATGAGCCGTGTGATTGTAGACAAATTCCTTAACGTGTGTGTCTCCCCTTCCTCGTGTGTGAAAGGGGGGTAGTGGAACCCATTTCATAGGATGTTGTGAGGATGAGACATATATACGTGTATGCACACACACACACACACACAGCGTACTCAGAACCACACCCACATTAGGTGTTAAGTCACAACCCGAACCCACACCCAGCTGGGCGCTCTGCCATCACACCACACCATATGATTGTCTCTCTTCCCCTCTATTCTTTCATCCCCGTCAGCCCAGGACAAAGGGGTGCATTCTCTGGTTTCCAGCCTCACTCAGCATAGACTGTGGTGTCAACGTGTGGCGAACAAAACAATGGAGCATAATACATACAAACGCACCAAAAGCAAGTATCCCTCCAGCACTTGCCATGTGCTAGACGCTACTCCAAAGAGCGGCAGATAGAGTGCAGGGCTGAATGCACAGAAGTCTTTGTCCTCATGAGGCTTACACTCTAATGGGGGACACATAAAATAATCAAAGCGATCAGGTAATACAGTATGTTAGAAGATGGTAGACGCTCTGGAGAAAAATTAATTAGGGAGCCGGGAGAGACCACGAGGAACAGGAGGGTGAGAGGAGCTGCAATGTTAAATAGAGTGGTCAGCCAGGTCTCTCTGAGAAGGTGACATTCCAGCAAAGACCTGAAGGGGGTGAGGGAACCCTCCATGAGGATATCTGAGGGAATAAGCATTCCAGGCAGAGGGCACAGCAAGTGCAAAGGCCCTGAGGCAGGACGGAGCAACAAGGAAGAGGTGTGCTGGAAGGGGGTGATGGAGGTGGAGAGGAGCTGGGGCCAGCTCGGAGGCTCTGCAAGGTCAGGTGTGAGCGGATGATGTCAGGAACCAGGTGGGGATCATTGATGAAGCGAAAGGCTAAAAGGGGGCATGCCCGCCCCTCCTGCTCTCCGAGGTCGAGCTCTGGCGTCCGCTGTTCTCATCCACTCCCTGCAGGTGTAACCTCCGGCAAGCCTCTTCACCCAGATGGGGCTCAGTTTCTTTCATCTGTGAAATGGAGCCTCCCAACCTCACCTCACTGGGTTTTGGGAAGAAATGGTGCAGATAACGTGGTCGGCAAGGGCCATGGGACACAAGAAGTTCTGGAAAGGAGATTTCAAGCCGGAGGAGCTCGTTAACGTTTGAGAAGTACTTGGAGCTGTGTGGGGCTCTGCGTCTGTTACCATGATTGGAGGGGGTTACTGGGGGGGGGGTTCCAGAGGAAGAGGCAGGGGGAGGCAGGAACCATACACAGGAGGTGTGCACCAGGCAGGGAGAGAGACTGGCCCCGGACACAGAAAGGCAGCCCCGGGTTCAAATGCCACCCCTCCCACGTTGACGACCCCCTCTTGAACTGCAAACAGGTGCGAGTCAAACCTCTGACCTCCCGGAGGTATAAGGGCAATTGGAAGAGGGTATTTGAGGCTGAGCTTTTGGTTTTGTGACCAAGTATGACATCGAATGACTTGCTGTCCTTGCGCTAGTGCTGTTAGAGACCGTCACAGTTCCTGGCTCCCCCACCCCAACCCTGGTGTCCCTGCCAGCCCCTCCCAGGGGCCACTGCTGCTGGGCTGTGCCAGGTGAGTGCTCAGGTATGCGGAGGCGGGGTGGCCTGGCAGGGAGCAGGAAGGAGGGGCCGGCATTTGGAACCCAGGGACAGCAGAGAGCGGGGCCTCTCGCAGCAGACCGAGCCTGACGGGCAGGTGAGGAGGGGGCCTAGCCAGCGGGGGTGGAGGTCGGGACTCCTGGGGAGCAGGAGCAGGGGGCTAGGACTCTCGGTTCAGACACCAGGAAGGCTGGCAGACCTGAACCCTTGAGTCCTGAGGAGGTAAGGGCTGGGAGATTGGCCTGAAAGCCTGAGGCCCTAAGTGGCTGAGGAATTAGATGAATGGTTCTCTGAGGGGACTTGGAGTCAAGACCCTTTGGTTCTTAGGGTCCGAAGCTCTGAGCTGGAACTCCTGGGCCCCTGAGGAGATAAGGCTGGGAGACAGGATCACTGGAAAGAGGAAGCAAAATAAGATACACATAGATTAGGGAGCCAAATGCATGGATCCCTGAAAAATTTGGGGGGCAGAGTACAAGGTGTGAAGGAGGGGCTCGGGGCCTGGACTCCTGGGTCTGAGGGAGGAGGGGGAGGGGCTGGGGGTCTGGACTCCTGGGTCTGAGGGAGGAGGAGGAGGGGCTGGGGACCCGGACCCCTGGGTCTCAGAAAGGAGGGGCTGGGGGTCTGGACTCCCGGGTCTGAGGGAGGAGGGGCTGGAGGCCCCAGACTCCTCGGCCTGAAGGAGGAGGGGCATGGGGGTTTTGGACTTCTGGGTCTGGGGAAGGAGGGGTCCGGGGGCAGGGACCCTCGGGTCTGAGGGAGGAGCGGCTGGAGACCCTGGACTCCTGGGTCTGAGGGAGGAGGGGCTGGGGGTCTGGACTCCTGGGTCTGAGGGAGGAAGGGGCTGGGGATCTGGACTCCTGGGTCTGAGGGAGGAGGGGGCTGGGGGCCTGGACTCCAAGGTCTGAGGGAGGAAGGGGCTGGGGGTCTGGACTCCTGGGTCTGAGGGAGGAGGGGCTGGGGGTCTGGACTCCTGGGTCTGAGGGAGGAGGGGGCTGAGGGCCTGGACTCCTCGGTCTGAGGGAGGAGGGGGCTGGGGCCAAAGTCCTAGGTACCACAGGCCAGGTCAGGCCCTCACTCTCTGCTGGCCCCTAGGGCACCTCCAGGTGGCAGGAGCTCCCCATTCTCCACACCATGAGCACCACCACAGGGTAAGTGGCCCCTGCTCCCCAGGCTGCCCAGCCCCCTCTGCCACCCTCTTCCCCACACCCCCAGGGGGCATTTACAGCAGCCCAGGCCTGGACTCTGAGAAGGAGGCCTACGCTGCCTCCTTCCCTGCCCGGCCTGGGTTTGAGCTACTGCCCCAGAGCAGACGCACCTGGGTTCATCTCCAGACGCTCACACTCAGCAGCAGTGTGACCCTGGCCAAAGAACCAAGCCTGAGTTCCTCCTCTGGGAAACAAGGACAATTCTGAGAGCTTGACAGGGTAATGAAGGTATAGGACTTAGCAGAGAATCTGACCAAGAGCAGGTACTCTCTTCTGCTTCTGCTGTTGTTAGCTTATTATTAGACATTGACCCTTTGCAGGCAAATCTGGGCTTTTTTTTTTTTTCTTTAAGACTTATTTATTTCAGAGAGAGAGAGAGAACACGGGGGTGTGGGGGAAAGGGCAGAGGGGGAGGGCAAGAGTGTCTTCAGCTGACCCCACGCTGAGCACGGAGCCCAGTGTGGGACTAGATTTCATGAGCCTGAGATCATGACCTGAGCCGAAACCAAGAGTCCAACGCTTAACCACCTGGAGCCCCTGGGCTGTTTCTAATAAAGTTCAAGTCTCCTGGAGTGAGCATCGAGAAGAACAAAGGGAGGCCCATGGGAATAGCTGTATTGAAGATATACGGTAGTGAATTGTCCAGCACAGGGGTAATCAAATTGTGCAGAGATCTGACAGGCAGGAGCAGGACAAGGAGCAGAGGTTTGATTGAAAGTGTTTCTTGTCCCTCATCCCACCTGAGCTCTGAGTTTCTGTCATTTCTGTGGAGTTCTTCTTGGAGAAGGTGACCTAGAAGGAGAGGCCAAGGGCAGGAGCCAGAGAAGGATTTGGCTGGGAAGAGCCTGGCCTGTGGGAGTAGGAGGGGGAGATAAGTCTGTCTACCCCAAATACTAATGCTGGTGTAAAACCCCCCCTTTATTGAGCACATACTGAGTGCTACCGTTCACACTGTAGGACTGAAATTTAATTTACTGAGGCTGTGAACCCCCTCCACTGTCAGTGAATCCAATAGCTCTACCAGACAGAGGCTATCAGATTAATAACCCCTATCTCACAGAAAGGGAAATTGAGGCACGAGAGATTAAGTCTCCTATCCAGGGCCTTATGGCAAGACAGTATTGACAGGGGATTCCAAGCCAGGTCTGTACGACAGCTGAGACCACGCTCTCCACCACCTGGTACCACACTGCCTTACCTGTGGGAAAGTCCAGCTCTGGGCCTGCCCTCCCCTGCTCAGAACCCTCCATGGTTCCCAACTGCCCTCACAATGAAGTCTTTGCTGCTCTGCTTGGCATTCAAAGCCCCCATGATCTCCCAGTTCCCATGGCCCCTCTCTCTCTCTTTTCCTTAACCAGCCCAGAAGCTGCCCCCAAACCAAGTGCCAAGTCAATCTATGGTGAGTTTGGGAACAAGAAAACCCCAGGCTGAAACTAGGTCTGAGGGAGGAAGGGCTGGAGGCCTGGACTCCAGGGTCTGAGGGAGGAAGAGGGGCTGGGGGCCTGGACTCCAGTGTATGAGGGAGGAGGGGCTGGGGGCCTGGACTCCAGGGTCTGAGGGAGGAGGAGGAGGAGGAAGGGCTGGGGGCCTGGACTCCATGGTCTGAGGGGGGAGGGGGGGGGAGGAGGGGAAGGGGGAGGAGCAGGAGCTGGGGGCCTGGACTCCAGGGTCTGAGGGGGGAGGGGGCTGGAGGTCTGGACTCGTGGGTCTGAGGGAGGAGGGGGCTGGGGGTCTGGACTCGTGGGTCTGAGGGAGGAGGGGCTGGGGGCCTGGACGCCTGGGTCCGAGGGAGGAGGAGGAGGAGGAGGAGGGGCTGGGGGCCCTGGACTCCTGGGTCTGAGGCAGGAAGGGCTGAGTCTTCTGGGTTTATTCTCCTTCTCCCCCACAGAGCAGAGGAAGCGTTACTCCACTGTGGTTATGGCAGATGTTTCCCAGTATCCAGTCAATGTGAGTCTGGGGTCTGCGTTGTCCCAGGGAGGCTTGCTGGGAGGAAAGGCAGGCCTGGAAAGATGGAGATGTTGAAAGCAGAAAGAAACTGGGAAACTGAGTTTGCTCATATGCAAGATGGGCTGCTTCTGCCTCCCCTTGGAAGTGGGTATTGGGCACAGGAAGTCAGTTCCACTTGAATCTGCCATGTTTTAGAGCGGCCCTTGTGCTGGACGGTCAGGCCACAGGGACAAACGTTAGGTAAACCTGTGTGAGGACGGGTCCAAGTGTGCCTGGTGCTCTAACAGAAGCAGAGGTGCTTGGAAGGGACTAGACAGAACCAGTGCCTCCAAGGAGCTTCCAGTGGTGTTGGGAGGCTAGTCACTCCGATGAAAGCAGGAGGCGCCCCATAGGTGGAGCCCCTGATAGGGCAGGCTTTCTGGAGGAGGCGCGTTTAGTCTCCGGCTGGAAGGCTGGTGCGAGCCCAGCCGGCATCCTCTTGGGACTCCCTGCTTTCTCCACGCCCCGTGCCAGCACCTGGTGACGTTCTGCCTGGGTGAAGAGGACGGCGTGCACACCGTGGAGGACGCCTCGCGGAAGCTGGCCGTCATGGACAGCCAGGGCCGCATCTGGGCCCAAGAGATGCTGCTGCGCGTGTCTCCGGACCATGTCACGCTGCTTGACCCCATCTCCAAGGTGCCAGGGGACACGGGGGGGGCAGGAGCGGCTGGCCTGAGTGGGGGAAGGCACAGAGAGCTTGACCCTAGGGCCGTCTGAGGGTGAATCTTGGCCCCTGCATGTCCTTCCTTTGGGAACTTTCGCAAGAGATCGCCACCCCTCTCGTGGGCGTCCGTAGTCTCCTCCGTTACACGGGGCTGCCATCCCCGACCCCGACCCCCGACCCCCCGGGCTGGCAGGGCTGCCGGCGCCGACCCGCAATCCCCTAGCCTCGCAGGGCTGCCCCCTGGCACGGCGGTCGCCATTCAGCCCCCTCGGCTCGGGCCTCAGTCTACCCTCCGCCCCGCCCCGCCCCGCCCCGCAGGAGGAGCTGGAGTCGTACCCGCTGGGCGCCGTCGTGCGCTGCGACGTGGTGCTGCCCCCAGGCCGGAGCCGCTCGCTGCTGCTGCTCGTGTGCCAGGAGCCCGAGCGCGCGCAGCCGGACGTGCACTTCTTCCAGGGCTTGCGCCTCGGGGTGAGCGGGCCCGCTCGGCGGGAGCCACCTGGGACGGGGCTGGGACCCTGTGGATTCCGGGGGCGGGGCCTGGGGCAGAGGCGGGGGCAGGGCCCGCGGAGGGGGCGGGGCCTGGAAAGAAGTTCTGGAATGGAGCGGGTTTTGAGGACAGGTTGCACCCGGTCGAGGTAGAACGTGAGGGCGGAATGGAGACCGAGGCTAGGGGCCCGGACAGAACATGACAGCACAGGGGGGACAGGGGGGACAGGGTCTGGGAGCAGCCAGCACCAGAGGCGGGTATGGTCTAGGGGCCGAGGAAACACCAGGACCCGGTCTCCGGGGCTGGGGAAGAAGCCTAGGGCACGGGCAGAGGTGGGGCGAGGGCGTGAGTTCGGACCGTGGATGTGCATGGGGCACCGTGTGCGTGAGTGCTGACTTGGGGGGCAGGGTCTGGCGCCCAGCCAAGGAATCGATCCTTCGATCCTTCGATCCTTCGATCCTTTGGACCGTGGCTGGGGCAAGCAGTAGGTGGGGTGGGGTGGGGTGGGGTGGGGTGGGGGCCTGACGGCATGATTGGCAGGCGGAGCTGATCCGAGAGGACGTCCAGGGGGCTCTGCATGACTACCGGTCCGGCCGCGGGGAGCGTAGGCCCGCGGCGCTCAAGTAAGGGTGCTGGGCTGGAAGCAGGGGAGAAGAGAGGATGGGGGGCGGTGTTTCTGGGAGGCCAGCTCCGGCGCCTCGGTCTCCCCCTCCAACCCCCCCCCGGCGCCTCGGTCTCCCCCTCCAACCCCCCCCCCCCGGCGCCTCGGTCTCCCCCTCCAACCCCCCCCGGCGCCTCGGTCTCCGCCCCCCAACACCCCCCCGGCGCCTCGGTCTCCCCTCATCCCCCCCGTCTCTCTGCCCCCCGTCTCTCCTCCTCCCCCCCCGTCTCTCCTCCCCCCATCCCCCCCCGTCTCTCCTCCCCCCATCCCCCCCCGTCTCTCCTCCCCCCATCCCCCCCCGTCTCTCCTCCCCCCATCCCCCCCGTCTCTCCTCCCCCCATCCCCCCCGTCTCTCCTCCCCCCATCCCCCCCGTCTCTCCTCCCCCCATCCCCCCCGTCTCTCCTCCCCCCATCCCCCCCCGTCTCTCCTCCCCCCATCCCCCCCCGTCTCTCCTCCCCCCATCCCCCCCCGTCTCTCCTCCCCCCATCCCCCCCCCCGTCTCTCCTCCCCCCCATCCCCCCCCGTCTCTCCTCCCCCCATCCCCCCCCGTCTCTCCTCCCCCCATCCCCCCCCCGTCTCTCCTCCCCCCATCCCCCCCCGTCTCTCCTCCCCCCATCCCCCCCCGTCTCTCCTCCCCCCATCCCCCCCCGTCTCTCCTCCCCCCATCCCCCCCCGTCTCTCCTCCCCCCATCCCCCCCCGTCTCTCCTCCCCCCATCCCCCCCCGTCTCTCCTCCCCCCATCCCCCCCGTCTCTCCTCCCCCCATCCCCCCCGTCTCTCCTCCCCCCATCCCCCCCCGTCTCTCCTCCCCCCATCCCCCCCCGTCTCTCCTCCCCCCCATCCCCCCCCGTCTCTCCTCCCCCCATCCCCCCCCCCGTCTCTCCTCCCCCCATCCCCCCCCGTCTCTCCTCCCCCCATCCCCCCCCGTCTCTCCTCCCCCCATCCCCCCCCGTCTCTCCTCCCCCCATCCCCCCCCGTCTCTCCTCCCCCCATCCCCCCCCGTCCTCTCCTCCCCCCATCCCCCCCCGTCTCTCCTCCCCCCATCCCCCCCCCGTCTCTCCTCCCCCCATCCCCCCCCCGTCTCTCCCCCCCGTCTCTCCCCCCCGTCTCTCCCCCCCATCCCCCCCCCGTCTCTTCCCCTCCCCCCACGCCTCAGTCCCCCTTTCCGACAAATGAGCGGATGCCCCTAGCCTGGGACAGCACGAGTTTTGAAGTCCGTCAAAGCCTGGTTTGCGTCCTGCCGTAGCCCTCAGATAAGTGCACCCGCTCTCCAAGACGACTTTTCCTATTTCCGGTCCTCGGTTTCTCCTCCCTCAGGCCTCCGTTTCCCTCTGGAGAGGCGCTCCCCTTCCCTGTGTCTCCGATTTCTCCCTGCCCCCGGTTTGACTCAGCTGGGCCACACTGTCTCCGTTTGAAGCCCGATTTGTCCCCCGCCCTATCGCCAGGCGCACCCAGCCTGCTTCCCCCTCGTGCCTCCGCAGGGCCACGCAGGAGGAGCTGCAGCGCCGCCCCTCGCCGGCGGCCGAGACCCCCTCCTCTGCAGCGCCGCCCGTCGCTCCGCGCCGTCATCAGCACGGTGGGCGTCAGCCGCGGGCGATCCCAGGCGGAGCCCATCCCGGAAGCGGCGGAAGAGTCGCAGAGGCCCGGCCAGGCTCAGGCCGCAGGCAGTGCTGACCCGGCCTCCCCGGATCCGGGCCCCCGCGGTCCAGACCTGGCCGGTCTGCAGGCCGAGCGGGACGTGGTGAGTGGGGCGGGGCTAGGCCTGGAGGTGGGACCGGCTGTGGGGAGGGAGTCCTAGCTCCGGGGAGTGGGGCTTTGTTGGGGGGGGGGGAGGAAGGGGGGTGTCAGACACCTGGGGGTGTGGCCGGTGGTGACTGGAATACGAGGCCAAGGCCAGGCGGCAGAGGGCGGGGCATGGCCTGGGAGGATGTCAGGGCCCTGGGCCTGAGGGCTTTGGGGTAATGACTCCACACCCCTGCGCCCCCTGCGCCCCCTGCCTCCCCTGCGCCCCCTGCCTCCCCTGCTCTGTCCCCCAGGACATCCTGAACCACGTGTTCGACGACGTGGAGAGTTTCGTGTCGAGGCTGCAGAAGTCTGCAGAGGCGGCCCGCGTGTTGCAGCATCGGGAGCGCGGCCGGAGGACCCGGCGCCGGATGGCTGGGGGTGAGCGGCGCCCTCCGAGTGGGATCCTGAGCCTCTAGTCACTCCCAAATATCTTCCCTCTCCCTAGGGTCTCCCCCCGCACCACCCCCCCCCCGCTAGGTGTGTGACTCTCCATCACTGGGGATCTGACTGGTGCTCTCTTGTGTCCTGGTCGGGTGCGCACCGCACCGCACCTGCCTCCCCGCACTGCACATCACCTGCCCCCCCCCGCACGCACCTGCCACGCCCCCCCCCCCCGCGCCGCACCTGCCTCTGCCCTCCCCCCCCCCCCCCCCACACACACACGGCACCCCACCTGCCTCCCCCACCTGCAGAGGGTCTCCTGACACTGCGGGCCAAGCCGCCCTCAGAGGCCGAGTACACAGACGTGCTTCAGAAAATCAAGTACGCCTTCAGCCTGCTGGTGAGACCGCGTCCCGCCCGGGCCTTCGTGGGGCAGGGGGATGGCGAGCTTGGCCGCCCGTGCGCTAACCTGGGCACCGCCCCCCTTCCGCAGGCCCGGCTGCGCGGCAACATCGCCAACCCCTCGTCCCCAGAGGCTGCACTTCCTCTTCGGACCTCTGCAACTGGTGAGCGCCCCCTCCCTCGTCCCTCCGGGCCCCCCTGCAGCAGGAGGAATCGGGGTTCGACTTGGGGGAGGGTTGATGGCGTGTCCGCTCACTCCTGCGCCCCTGGCAGGTCGTGGACTCGTCGGGCGGCCCCCAATTTGCAAGTGAAGTGCGGCGGCCGCACCTGACGTCCGAGGCCGTAGCACTGTTGAGGGACAACCTCACCCCACGTGAGAATGCGCTCTGGACCTCGCTGGGGGACTCGTGGACCCGCCCGGGGTGAGGCAGGGGTGGGGGGGCCGGGAGGCAGGGGCGCAGTGACTGGGAGGCTGGGATGCTGGACTCAGCTGGAGGCTGAAGGGCCGGGACCCGACTGGAGGGAAGGGCAGACTTCCGCGGGGAGGACAGGTTTCCGACCGAACCAGAACTCCCAACTCCAACAAAAAAGCCGCGCCCTAGAGGAGAGGGGTGGGGCCCAGGAAAGGACTGGCCTGTAGGTTTGGGAAAGGGGTGCAGTCTGCACTTGGAGGCAGCGAGCCTGCGGGGGGTGAGAGCAGAGCCGGACTTAGGGGACGAGGTGGGATGGGTGTAGAATACGAGGGGAGATTCAGAGGCCGGACGCAGCATGAGAGTGAAATCAGTGTATTTGCAAGTACGGTTGATGTCGGGGGTGGAACTTAGATGCGGGGGGCGGGCCTTGGCAAAAAAGCCGAGAGGTTCGGAGAGCTCGCACAGCGCCCCGTCTGCAGGATGGGGAAAACCTTAGTGAAGTTAGTAATAGGGCTCGGGGCGGACCAGGATCCCTGAGGCCTCAGCCCCTTGGCCGCAGGCTGGAGCTGCCCCCAGAGGAGGGATCCCCGTACAGCCCTGAGTTCTCCAGCGGCTGGGAGCCCCCCGCCACCGACCCGCACGGCCGCGCCTGGGAGAACCCAGTAGACAGACAGCTGCAGCATGAGCGGCGGCGCCAGCAGGTGAGGCTAAAGCTCCGTGGGGAGCCACACACTCCCCCAGGTGACACAGTGGGGCGGGGACCCTGAAGTCTGGCCCTGCCTGAGCTGCTGCTCTCCTCTCCCCAGCAAAGTGCCCCCCAGGTCGCTGTCAATGGGTGAGTGTGGGCCCCAAGGTGGAACAGGTGGGGTCGAGGAGGGGTGCGTCCTGGGGGCTCCTGGCACTGACTCCACCCCCTGTTTTCTGTCTTTCCTTCTGTGTCCCCGGCTCTTCACAGGTGGGTGAGGTGGTGACGAGGGAGGGCCTGGGCTGGGAGAGGGAGGGAGAAGGGAGGGAGGGGGAGGGGGCAGGGCCCAGACTAAGGGGTCCAAGGGAGGAGGCCCGGATTCCAGGGTGTGAGGGAGGAGGGGGCTGGGAGGGAGTAAAGTCTGAGAGGCTGGGAGAAGGCAGTTCTATTACCCAGGGCCAGGGAAGCTCCCTGTCTGGGTCCCTAAGAGGACAGAGCCCCAGGTGTTGGAAGAGACTGGGGGATTGGGCATTTGGGTTTTGAAGAAGAGCTCAAGTCTGGTGCTTGGGGCCTTGGAGACCCAGAGAAGACCTGGGCCTTCAGGAGCCATGGGGCAAGTTTCTGGGAAAGTTAGGAAGTGGTAGTATTTCTGGGCCCCTGAAAGAGGTAACAACTGGGAGGCTGGACCCTCCTTTTCCCAAGGCTCTAAAACAGTTGGCTCTGTTCCCACTGAATGTCCTATAGAGAGCCTTCAAAGGTTAAAAGATTGGAGAAAGTAAGGTTTCAGACCTGGACTCCCGGGTCTCTCAGGGAGGAAAGAGCTGGGGGTCTGAGTTCATGACTCCAAAAAGCAGTGGGGGCACAGAAGGGGCATGGAGAAGCCAGGACGCTAGGGTCCTTGAGCAAGTTGAGGGCAGATGTGAGGGAAGCTTCGTGGGATAAGAAGAAAACAAAGCAGCAAAGCTGGAGCAGAAGGGGGTCTGGGTGAGGGCCCCGGCAGAGTCTCAGCAGGGACAGCGTGCTGGGAGCTGCCAGCCCCACACAGGGGGCGCCGCGGCCCTGAAGACCCCCCCCTCTCCTTTGCACAGGTAGGCCTGATCGGGCTGAGGTCCCTCTTACTGGGGGGATCAGAGCCAACATCTCGCTTCCACCCCCCAACCCCAGCTGCCTGGTCTTGCAGAACTTCACCCACTCCCCATGCTTCTGAAACTTGGGCTTGGCACCCCCTGCTTTTAACTTCCCTTGTCTGAGCTTCCAGTTCTTTGCAGAAAAAAGGAAAATCATCCCTTCTTGGAGGAGTTAGAAATCTAGGAGGTTCTACAGGCGAGCCGTTAAGAGCCGCCGCGGGAGAGCTCAGGTTCACACCCAGCGGCCCACACGGTAGACCAGCATTACTCAGGACACGGACTCTGGGGCCAGCCTGCCTGGGTCTCAGTCTGGCCAATGCCTCTTTCTTGCTCTGTGAACTTGACACCATCGTGCCTCTCTATCTCCCTGTTCTTCCATTCCCACACCCATAAAACAGAAAATAATAGGGTCGCGGGTGGAGGAGGAAAGGATGGGAGTGGGGAGGGGAGTCCAAATTCATGGTTAGACCAACGGGTGGGTCAAAACCCAGATTAGCCAATACATGTAAGTTTTTGAACAGGGCCTGACACCTAGTCCGTGCTCTAGAAGTTAACCATAAGCTAACCGTTGTGTTGTAACTGTGGGTTCTCGTAAGTGTGAGCCTAGTGCACGGTAGATGCTCAATAAACAGCAGCTGTTTCTAGCTGTGTGATAGGGAGCAAGTGATTTTCTCTGAGCCTTAATGTTCTCACCTGTAAAATGGAGGTGATGTTAGCACTCCTATCATTGCCTAAAGCACGGTGCCTGGTACACGAGGAACAAAATGCATTCAAGGTGTTATTCCAATTTCAAGTCTCTATTAACAGTATTAACCAGGGCCCCTGCCTTGATCCCTGCCTGGCTCTAACCCCAGCTCACACCAATACCCTACTGCCCAGGGCAGTGAGACCGGCTACCTCCCTATCCTCGACCCTCATTCTTCTCCCCAGTCACCAAGACCCAGAGCCAGAGGCTGAGCCCCAGCTGGAGCCGGAGGGGAAGTGGGTCCTGTGTACCTACGACTTCCAGGCCCGCAACAGCAGTGAGCTGTCGGTCAAGCCGCAGGATGTGTTGGAGGTGAGAGGGCAGAGGGCCCGGGGGCTGCAGCGGGCCCAGCCCTGGCTGCAGACACAGGCTGTGACCCCTCCTCTCCTCCCTCCCTCAGGTCCTGGATGACAGGCGCAAGTGGTGGAAGGTTCGGGACCAGCAAGGGCAGGAAGGATATGTGCCCTATAATATCCTAACACCCCACCCGCGGCCCCAAGGAAGCTGCAGCCAAAGCCCTTCCCGCAGCCTGGTGAGCCAGGGCAGACCCCTGGGTCTTAAGGGAAGGAGGGGTGTGAGGATCAGGTGCCAAGGGCACTGGCGGGGGGCGGGGGGGGGTCAGAAATTGACCTCTGGAAGGTGGAGGGGCTGGGACTCAGTCTTCTGACTCCCCTCTCTAGGAGGACAGCACGCCCCCTCACCCACCAGCGCCGGCCCCAGCTCCTACCTTGTCTCGGCCCCACTGGGACAGTGGTGATAACCTCAACTTGGACCCCAGAGAGAAGGGTGAGTGCTGGGGGAAGCCGCTCTTAGCCTTGCTTTCCAGTCAGGGGAACCAAGGCTCAAAGAGAGTCAACAGACTTCCAACCCATCGTGAGGACGGTGGAGATCTTCTCTCTGGCCCCAGGACCCTTCATCCTGAATCCACGCTCCCTCCCGGTTTTCCGCCTGCAGAGAAATTCTCCCAGATGCTGTGTGTCAACGAGGAGCTGCAGGCGCGCTTAGCCCAGGGCCGCTCAGGCCCCAGCCGCGCAGCCCCGGGTCCCCGCGCCCCGGAGCCACAGCTCAGCCCGCACTCGGACACGGCCGAGGTCCGCGCCTGGCTGCAGGCCAAGGGATTTAGCGCTGGGTGAGTGCCTGTGGCCGGCTGGCGACCCTGAGATGGGGACGCAGGAGGGGGCGCGTTCTGATTGGACCGTGGGGAACCGGGATTGGCCTGAAGCGAGGGTCTGTCGGTTGCACGATTGGCACGTTTGGCCGGGGAACGCCGGCCTCGGTTGGAAAGCTGGGCGCACGCCCCGCCTCCTTCTGTGGAGCACTGACGGGGGGGGGGGCGGGGGAGGGATGCTGCTGTGATTGGACGAACGGCTTGGCAGCAGGGATGTGACTGGTGGGGCTCTGGGGCCGAAGCTGTGATTGGCTGGGGGCCTGACCGCTCCTCCCACCCCACTGCTCGCTCAGGACCGTGGGCGCGTTGGGCGTGCTGACCGGCGCGCAGCTCTTCTCGCTGCAGAAGGAGGAGCTGCGGGCCGTGAGCCCGGAGGAGGGGGCACGCGTGTACAGCCAGGTCACGGTGCAGCGCGCGCTGCTGGAGGTGAGCCGATGCTCGTCCTGGGCCTGGGAGGGCAGCCAGGGCTCGGAGGCCAGGCTTCTGATTTCCACCCGGCCCTCCAGGACAAAGAGAAAGTGTCAGAGTTGGAGGTGGTGATGGAGAAGCAGAAGAAGAAGGTGGAAGGCAACCTGGAAACAGAGGTTATCTGACCATCCCCGGCTGCTCTGCTCGAAGTTTCGAGGCAGCCCCATGGGAGAACGGAGTCTGCAGACTGCCCCCACCCCCACGGAAGTCGAGCCCTTGCGAAGGCTCCGGACCTGTTCCGACTCTGGTCTCCCCCGGTCCCCGTGGAGTCTCCTGCGTGAGCGGACTGGCCGTGAGTGGGAGGGAAGGGGGCCACACTCGGGTGCCCTGTGCATTGTGATACACCACCCAGTCTATAAACAGCCTCCTCGTAGCAGGCATTGTCAACTGCTGTCCCTTCTCTACCGGGCCACCAGGGGGCCCAGCGACCTGCCCCTCACCCCACCTACGTGTCCCTACCTTTTTTGGTTTCTTTCTCGGGCTTCCTCTTCCCCTCCGGGCCAGCAGGCCATCCTCCAGTCCACTCGAGAGAGATCTTCTGAACACCCACTCTCCTTCCCTGGCTCCTCAAGGCCCCCCTCGCCCCAGAGCCTAGTGTTTAAGGCCCTGAGAGGTTTGGTCCCTACCCCACCCCCGCGCACTCTGGTCCTGCCCTTCTCCAAACACCCCCAAGCCCCCTCAACCACTGGGGTTGTGCATGTTTTCCGCTGGCTGGAACAGTGGTTTCCTGCCTGGTGAACTGCCAGTCAGCCTTCCTGCTGCAGTTCAAATACCCCCTTGGGGGAAGCGTGCACTCACCTCCCAGCATCCATTTCCCTTTGTCCCCTACCACGGGCCCAGCCACAAAGAAGGGGCTGCCTCCTGAATGTGCCACAGGCCTCCTGGCCACTGTTCTCCTGGGAGGTCACAGCCTAACCAGAAGCTGCCCACCTCAAGAGCAGCCAGCTCCTCGTCCTCTTTGCCGTTGGTAACTTTTCCCATTGTCCAGACAGCTAGCACGGGTGGTTTAGGATGGGTTTTCTCTGGATCCCAGACTCCTTCAGACTGGCTGCTCCCCCAGCTTTAGGAAGACGGCCCTTTCCTCCTCGTCCGGTGACCCCTTCCCTGTCCCCAGGATGCCCACTGCCAAGCCTCCCCACTCCCAGTTCCTGCCACCTTCTACCTAAGCACCCCCCCTCCACGATGCCCTCCAAAATCAGACGAGATGAGACCCAGTCCTGGGCATGCAGGAGCTCTGATTCTGTCCCTCTCTGCCCCCCCCACCAGCTAGAGTCCAAGCTCCAGGGTTGGACAAGGCAGGCCCGAGCCCTGTCCTAGCCCAGTGCACCCTGTCAGGCCCTGCAGGCTGCTGTCCCCTCCACTATTCAGAGCCTCACGGTCTCTCACCATTTCCAGACCGCCCCCCTCCTTGCTGAGATCATGGCAGCGGGGCTCCCTGTTTCTGTCCCTCACTGTCATCCCCCGGACTGTTGTCAAGGCAGCAGCCAAAGGGACCTGTTAAAACCTAGGTCCCACCTCACCGTTCGAGTCCTTGCCATCGCCTCCCCGACCTCACCCCTCCTAGTTCTCTGGCCACACAGGCTGCTTCCTGCACCTCCGCAGTTCAGGTACACCTCCGCCCGATGGACTGTCCCTGCTGCTCCCTTAAACACCTCCATGGCTCCTTCCCGGACACCTGCGAGTACCTGCCTGTGCCGGCTTTCCGGGGGACTGACTCAGTGGCTGCTACGGACTCCGCGCACACAGACGCTCCGCTGCCTGAGAACCCCCTCCTCTCCTCACGGCAGGCCTCTCCTCCCCCGTGTCAGGTCTTTACCACTCCCCTCACTACGGAATCACCAGGAGGTAGGACGGGGCCTAGAAAGGAGAACACGACCAGGAATGAAAGCACGCCCCCTCCTCCGCCCCAGCCGCACTGAAGAGCTCCTACTATCCCAGTCCTATTTCCAGAAAAGCCAGAATTCTAGGTTTTTAAAAATGAATGAGCCCAAATTTTAAATGTTGGCAACTGGCTCAAATTTGTTTCATAAGCACTGCGGGTAAGAGCCAAGCTCCAAGCCCGACAGGAGCCCTGGCCTCTGAGCCAGCTGACCGTTCCTGCCCTGCCCCAGGCTACTCGGGGACCAGGGGGACCTTATCAGCCCTGGTTCGAGGCCACGGCTCCAGCTGGCCACTCTCCTGAAAGCCTTCCCCCCCACCCCCTGGCACCCCACCCCCACGGACGAGCACAGATGAACACGGAAGCGCTGCGCTCCCCTCCCCCCCCCCAGCGGGGGACACAGTCACTGTGTGGCAACTTCACGACTTTTATTTGTGGTGCCTGTGCTTTGTCTCGAAAATATCTTCTCCCCCTGCCCCTGACAGTGGGCGGGGAGGGGGCAGCAAAAAATAGAGACATCCCTCCCTATTGCACACGGACCCTATATACAGGCCCACCTGGCCGAGGCGGGCGGGACTCTTGGCACATTCTCGGATCCCTGTTCAGGAACGGGAGGGGTGAGAGGGGTGGCATCACACGTGAGGGGGACCTCCGGTGGCCACTGTGGTCCTGGCACTTCCTGCTCCTCGGTTCCTCCCTGGTCCCACCTCTAGCCCCGAGCCCCCCTCAGCAACGTCTCCCTACCTGGCTCGGCCTCTCGCCTCCATCCCGGCCTCGGGGGGCCCCCCCCTTGGCTCCTGGGGACTCTGTACTCCCCTCACAGTCTGGAGGCCCCGAAGGGAGGCTATGGCTTCTCCGAGAGCCCCTGGGAGCCCTATCACTCGTGCTCACACAGGGGGAGGGATGCGTGTGGCAGAAGCAGTTGTATAAATACGGGTGTGGGGGAAGGTCGTCCTCCAGAGTCACTTAGAGAGTTTGCTGATGACACGGATCAGGGCTGCGTTCTCATCCTTGAGCCTCTGGTTGTCAGCCCGGAGGTCGGATAGGGCCTGTGGGAGGGGAGGGGTCAGCCGGGCGGCCCTGGGCCCCTGGAACCCCCTGCCCACAGCACCCCCTTAGTATTCACCTTTAGCTCCTCCTCGAGCTCGGCGGCCTTTCGCTCCAGGGCCCTGCGCTCCTGGAATAAATGGTAGACCTGAGACCCAGGGATGGGGGGGGGGGGGGCAGCGATCATGTAAGGCTGGGAAGGGTGGGGAGAGGGCAGAAGGCCTTCTTCAGACCCACATGGGTATGTAAGACTGGGGACACATGGGCCCCCACCTCAGGTGCTCCTACTCACGAATCTCTCCAGCTCCAGAAGGGCTGGTCTCTCTGCAAAGCGCTCCTGCCTCTGGCGAGAACAGAAGAAGCACAAGGCTCAAACATCCAAACCACAAAGACCGGGAGGGAGGACGCCAGCGCGGGGACAGGGACAGCCGTCCAGGCTCTCGGGCCCTATCCCTCATCAGCCCCACCCCCACGGGTCCCAGCATGCCCCGCAGGCCCGGCCCCCCACCCCAGGGGTCCTGAGCCCAGGCACAGGCACACCTGGGCCAGCGCTGCGACAGCGCGGAAAACCTCCGGGGCCTCGGCGCCTCACCTGCGCAGCACGCTCTAGCTCCACCTTGAGCTGTGCCAGGCGCAGCGTGGTCTCGGTCAGGGCCTCCCGAAGCCTCTCATTCTCACTGCGCAGCTCTGAGTACAGCTGGGGGGGCCGGGGGCGGGGAGGGGGGGGAACAGGGTCAGGCTTGCCGGCCGCAGGCAGCTCAGTGAGGCTGCCGGGAAGGGTGGGGTGTGGGGATGCGGCAGGCACAGCCACAGAGGGTGGAAGGGCAGGTGGACAGAGGCCGACTGCGGGTCAGCTGGATCGACGGTGGGGTGGAGCTGCGAACCTTCCTGAAGCCTCCATCGGGTTCGTCCGATGCTGGCGCGGGGTCCCGCTGCCGGCGCGGTGAGGGGCCGCGCTCCGAAGTGCTGGGGTGGAGGTGGGCGGGGCGTCAGCGGGGCTCTCTGCAGCCCGACAGACAAGCCCAAACCCTTCCCGGCCCACCCCGTACCTGGACTCTGGGCTGCGGTCGGCCAGCTCCGCCTCCTCCCCCTGCGGGCGGAGGTGGGGTTCAGCCTGATGCCGGGAGGGGAGTCTGGCCCACCACCCTGCCTCCAAGGCCCACCCATAGCCCAGCTCGCCCCGCCCCGGCCTGGGCCCCACCCCTCACCTCCGCAAGCCCCCTCCACTCCTTGCCGACTCTGCGATGCTCCCTGGCGGCCTGTGGTCCCTGCCCCTGCCCGTCAGGCGCCTCTGCTGGGGGGAGGGGCAGGAATCAGCCCAGAAACGGGGGGGGGGGGGGCGCCTCCCTGCGGTGTCAGGATCCCTAGCCCGACCCCCAGGAAAACAGTGCAACAGGAGAGATGGGGAGGCCAGGGAGCAGGAGGACCTCATCCCAGAGAGCAGACCTCACCTCTCTGGGCAGGGCCGTCAGAGTTCTCCACCCCAGGGATTCGGGGACGCCCAGATGGGTCCTGGGAAGAAGGGCAAGGGAGGTCAGAGAGATCAGAAGACAGGGTGTCTTATACCACCCACCACCTGCTCACCTGATCCCTCTCACCAGGCTCTGTAGGCTCAACTTCTCTGGCTCTGGGGCCTTCCCTGCTACCTTCTCTGCTTCCTTCAGGTCGGTCAGAGTCACACCCTGCAGTGCGGGGGGGTAGTCAGGGGTCCCCGAGGTCAGGGCCCAGCCCCTCAGGACTGAGTTCAAGCCCTCGGGCCCTCCTCCCTCAGACCTAGGAGTCCAGGACCCCAGCCCCTCCTCCCTCAGACCCAGGAGTCCAGGCCCGCAGCCCCTCCTCCCTCACACCCAGGAGTCCAGGCCCCCAGCCCCTCCTCCCTCACACCCAGGAGTCCAGGCCCCCAGCCCCTCCTCCCTCAGACCCAGGAGTCCAGGCACCCAGCCTCTCCTTCCCAGACCCACAAGAGTTCGAGCCCGACCCCTTTTCCCAGGATCCAGGAGCCCAGGCCCCAGCCCACGCCCACACCTGTGTGGACCTCCGAGACTGGCGCATGAGGCGAGAGCGAGCTTTCCGCTGGGATTCAGATTCCTCATCCCGCACAGGCATCTGGTAGGACCTGAGTGAAAGGTCCCAACTTCAGGGAGGGTTCCTTTGAGCTCTGTTCCCGTTCCATGGCTGACACCCTTCAGGGAAGCTAAGTTCTGCCAGAGGACTGTCAACTCACAGCGGACCCTGGGACAAACTCCCCCCTAGGGAGTGCCTGCCGGGGGCCCTGAGGACCCAGGCCTGGGACATGTAGTTTTCCCCAGCCAGGGAGAAAGAGCTTCCCACCCCCTGCCTCTTCACCTCCGCCGGTCCCGGGAGTCAGCTGGGGGCACTGTAGAGGCTACAGGGACATTGGGTTTCACTGGGGATTCAGGCTCCGGAATCCTGGAGGGAGGAGTGGAGTTCTCCAAGGGAGGGCGCCTGGAGATCTCAAACCTGTGTGAATTCATTCATCCAACAAATATTATTACTCCAGCTCGAGTTACGTGGCAGGTGCTGGAAATGCAGCAGTGAGCAGAAGAAAATTATCTCTGCCCCGATGAGTCAAGTATGAACAGAAAAGATGCAGAACAAACAATAAGCATAAAAAACCGTGTATACCATATAACACGCCGGAAGGCTAAAGGACTTTGAGAAACAGAGCGCTGACAGGAGGTGGGAGGGCGTGCATGTGCAGACATAGCATGAGCAGGGGGTCAGAGTGGGCCTCACCCAGAAGGGGACACACACAGACCTGAGGAAGGGCAGAAGCAAGCCAGGCGGCCAGGCAGGGGGCTGCAAAGGCCCAGGGGCAGGAGCATGCCTGTGTCAGAAAGGTGAGGGGGAGGTGCAGACAGAGGCAACAGGAGGTCATGTCATTGTGTCCTTACAAGCTTAACTGTAAGCTTTTACTTGATGCACCAGAAGGAAAATGGAGGCAAAGAGTGGTCGGGGCAGAGACCCCACAGAGCAAAGGGACTGAAGCGGTTGTAACCCAGACCTGCCCCCCACCCCGACAGGCCCAGGCCCTGGGTTGGTACTTACAGGGCAGAGGGCTCCGGCACCTTACGGGAGGGTGTAGGCGTAATTCTGGCAAGACGGGACTCCTTGGCCTGTGCAAAGAGACAAAGATGGGAGACGACATTCTCCTCGACTAGGCAGGGCTTGGTCCCCTGCCCCTCACCCCACTCACCTGAACAGAGGTCCCTTCCAACCGAGAGGAGGAAGCTGAGCGCTGCAGCCCAGCCCCAGGGGTGCCCTCGGCCCCCCGCCCGTCTGTGGGACCCAGGGCACCAGAGCTTCCCGTCTTCTGGAGGCCAAAGCGCCTGGAGAAAGGGGCCCCTTCTGGGGGCTGGGGAAGAGAAAGGTCTCAGTTGCAGAGAAAGCATCCTTCCCAGAGACTTCAAGTGTTACCCCAGAAGGACCACACAAACTGCAATTCCCATCAGCCCCTGGAGGGTGCGGCCAGAAAAAACCACTCAGCTGGTCCCGGGAACTCTGGAAACTAACCTTCACCCTACATACCCTGAGAAGGGGTTGCAGGCTCCTGGCATCCCTCCCTGCCCTCTCAAAACAGCATGACCGTCCAGGGCATCCAGACTCACCATGGGGCCCTGAGGGCTAGGGGGTGGTGGGGAAGACACTCCATTGACAGTTCTGGATTCTGGAGGCGGTGGCTCTGTGGAGTAGGAAAAGGGAGACACCAGCTGCCTCTCAGAACCAGCCCCTCCTCCCTCAGACCCGGGAGTCCAGGCCCCCAGCCCCCTCCTCCCTCAGACCCGGGAGTCCAGGCCCCCAGCCCCTCCTCCCTCAGACCCGGGAGTCCAGGTCCCCAGGCCCCTCCTCCCTCAGACCCGGGAGTCCAGGCCCCCCAGCCCCCTCCTCCCTCAGACCCGGGAGTCCAGGCCCCCCAGCCCCCTCCTCCCTCAGACCCGGGAGTCCAGACCCCCAGCCCCCTCCTCCCTCAGACCTGGGAGTCCAGGCCCCCCAGCCCCTCATTCCCCAACCCCAGGAGTCCAGGCTCCAGCTTCCTCTTCCTAGAGTCAGAAACCCAGACTGGCCCCTCACCGGTGAGGCCTTCTTCTCCCTCATCCTCGTCCTGTATTGGCGGCCCCCCTGCACCCCCAGGCCGGCGTTCCTTGGACAGGTCCTGGAGGGAGATCTTCTCTCGGCTGCTCAGACGACACACAGAGCTCCTGGTGGGAAGGGGAGGGTGTTGGGGTCCAAGCCCTGGGAGACTCCAGCCCACCCACCCACGTGCCCGCCTACTACCTTCGGTGTTTGCTGCTGGAAGGCACCTGGGGCTCCTGGCTTCTGCTCTGGGAGGCCTCCTTCTGGTTCCGCAGCTGCAAGGGAGAAAGCAGACTGCTGGGAGGGCCCCACAGCCCCAGCGTCCAGGGCCAGCACACACAGCTCTGCTCGTCTAAGCTCAAGGATGCTCCAGCTGCAGTACGCTCCACTCCAGGGGTGGGCATGGAGGGTCTGTGGGCTCATCGGAGTGTGTTGCAGATGACTGTGCGGCATGTGGCCCCTCGAGTTCTCACATCCACCTCTGGTCTCATCCCCTCTTACTCCCAGGGTGCCCTGCTCACCAGGGACACTGGCCTGGTGCTCAGACCCAGGAGCCCCTGCCTCCTCTCTACGGCTCGCTGGGCACTGGCCCAGCCTCTGCCAACAGTTCCTTCCTTAGAACAGCCAGTCATTCCCCGCCCCCCCAACCCCCAACCCGGCCTATCCAGGCAAGCCCCATGGGCGGGAGGATTCCCCGCCAGGATGGAAAGGCGCATACAGATCTGTTCTCCCCCTCCCCGAGGGCTGACCCTGCCTCACCCTCTACAAACCCCGCTGTGGCCCCATCATCTTCACCCTCAGCCTCACGCTGCTCCTCAGCCTGGCATTCAAGGTCCTTCGGGTGTGCCCCTGTCCCAGGGCTCCCCTGCCTCAGGCTTGGCACATGCCGTTCCCTCAAACCCGAGCACGTGCCCTGGGTCTGAGAAGCCGACCACCAAGCCAGAACCATGACCAACCTTTAAACAGAGGGATCTGTGTCCATCTACCTGCCACTCATGGGAAGCTCCAGGCTAGGGCCTGGCCCCCAGGAGATGCTGCTTGCTACCAACAGGGCTTACCATCTGCCGAGCAGCGTTCTAAATGTCCTTGTTCAGTAACGTACATACTCCTCGTAGGATAGCATATGCTCCACACAACTCCTCAAAAAGGTGCACACACCATTATCCCCATTTTACAGGTGAGGAAACGGAGGCTCAGAGGGGTTAAGTGACCAGCCCAAGCTCACACAGCAAATCCATGGCAGAGCTGTGATTCAGAGCACAGAGTCCAGGCCATTCATCCCTTCACTCTGCATTTTTCCAGCAACAAGGCCTGGCTCCATGCTGGTTGGGCTGCATCCCAGGGCTGATGAGGCCCAGCCTGAGCCTGGGACAGATAATCATCATCTGTATCCCAAGGTGTGACTGGGCCCCAGACCCCATCCCCTCCCCCCAACTCCTCTTCCTGACTGTCACCAGCTGGGAAGGAGCAGGGAGGCCTCCCTCGGCGGGCTGCCAGGAGGGAGGGCGCGCCTGAGACTCACATCCTCCTGCTTCCGGGCCAGCTCCTCCAACAGACTCAGCACCTCTTCATCAGCCAGGTCACAGGGACGCTGCCCCTGATGGAGGGGGAGGAAGAGAGGGGGCAGAGAATGAAGGAGGTGAGGGGGGGCCCTCCCCACCCTCACTCCCCCCCATCGCCAAGCAGCCTGGCCCTCACCGCGTGGGTCAGCGAATCCATGCCCCCACCGTGCTCAGCCAGCAGGCGGCAGGCATCCTCCACACCCCAGTGGGCCGCCGCATGCAGGGGGGTCCAGCCGTCCCCATCCCGGAGCTCCGGGTCGTAGCCAGCCTGAAGGAGCAGTCTGGGGGCCAGGAAGGCTTACAGTCAAGGACCAAGACAAGGGTTCTGCACCAATGGCTGACAAGGGCTCGCGGCGCTGTGACCCATGACGTCACTGAACCGATCCCAGGCAGGTGGTGAAGAGCCCCTCCCCCGGCCAGCAGGTGGCCTCCAGAACCCTGCTCCTTGTACTTGCAGGAGAGGGTACACTCTCTGGACTGTCACCCCTGGTTGTGGGACAGACAGCCCCAGAGCCTGTGAAAAGACTGAGGCCCCAGAAGGGGCAGCCTCGGTAGGTACTGTTCCAGGAACCCGCCGGCTGAGGGTGGCAGTTCTCAGCCGAGGCGATACTGCCCGCCAGGACCAGCCGGCAGTGTCTGGACACGTTGCTGGGTGTCACAACTTGGGGCTGCGTGCCAGGGGTCCTACCAACATCCTACAGTGCGGAGGATGGCCCCACAGCAAAGGCTGATCTGGTCCAAAACGCCACGAGTGGCGAGGTTGAGGGAGCCTGGCTTTGATGAGTCTACGACAATCAGCATCTCAGAGCACAGGTTTTGGGGGAGGGCAGGGTTACAGGCCCAGGGCAATTCTGCACAGCTGGTATCAGGCTCTGTGCAGTGGGAAAGAGCTCACGCAAGGTGAGAGGATGGGGAGAGGAGATACTTACTAAGGAGGCTTTTCAAATCAAAGCACCCGTGTGGCGCTGCTGACCTCGCGACTCACTTTCCCAGAGCTCACCTGCTGCAGCCACGCTGGGCGCCCGCCATCTCCCCAAGGACGCCCCCCTCCGGCCCTCGGTCTGGGGGTGGAGGCGCACGGGGTCGGTCACCAGCCGTCCCCAGGCCAGAGCTCATGCCATTCACTCCTCCCACCGCCCTATTTATATCCTTCTAGGCCCGTGGTTTCAACCAGGGACAGTGCTGGCCGCCCGGGGGCACTCGGCGATGCCCAGATATGGCTGGGTGTCATGACTGTGGTGGGGGTGTTCCTGGCACCCAGCGTAGAGCCTAGGGATGCTGCTCAATGACGTACGATGAACCTGGAGTCATCCAGCCCCAGGTCACCAGCGTGGAGAACGGCAGCCCCTCCACGCACTCAGGGCCCTCGGATCTGGCCTGCTTCCTTGCTCCCCTGTCTCCCCAGCGAAGCTGGGGGCTGCACATGGGCCCAGGCCTGTCCCGTTGGCCCGTGTATCCCCAGCCCTAAAAGACGGCCTGGCATACAGCAGGTGCTCAGTAAGTCAGTGCTGAGTGAATCACATCAAATAACTGCACAGTGCACACCTCTACTCTGTCATTCATCTCCAATGAGGAGAATGTCAGTTACGTTGTCCTAAAAATGCAGTTGATGGGTTTAGTTGTAAATAGAAGCCAATCTGAGGGGCAGTAATGAAATGAGACTCAGAGACTATGTCTGCATCCAAAGCATTTCAGTTCTGGGGCAGAGAGTGAGGCTGCCCCCAAAGAGGGACTCTCCTCCTGTTAGTAACAATGTTGACTCTCGGCTGGCCACACTGTCACCTGACTGAAGAGAAATGTCCCGGTCTTCCTGGCAGCTGTGAGTGGCCAGGTGAGTAACTGGGATGGTGGTAATACCAGGTAAATGCCAGGTGATCTGGCAAATGGGGTGTCAGCATTAAGTGTGCATGTCCCTCCTGGATTGTTCTTCTAAAAGGAAACTGACATTTGCTCCTTTTGCCCTCTCCTCCTTTCTGCTGTCTGGGATACAGATGCGATGGCAGGAGGTGAAGCAGCCACCTGAGACTCAGGGGTGGAAGCCATTAGGCAGAACAGGGAAGGGCTAAGCGCATGACTGGGCCTGACCATTTACAGTATCCCATCCCCCTTGCCACAGGGACTAGCTCTGAGACGGGCAGGTGCCCAACGCGGTCCACGAGCATCAGACCAGATCTTTTGCTCCAAGTACAGAGGACAAAGCATTCTACTTTCAGAGCAGGTGAGTAACTAGGACATGAGCCTGGAGCTACTCCTCACTGGAAGACCTGCCTAAAAGTCCAACACAGAAGTGAGCAGAGATGAGGGATTCATCCCTACTCCACTTTCAGACTAAAAATAAAGCATAAATCACAAAGAGAGAAGAGAGAGTCTGAGGATAACAACTGGAACCAACCACCCCAATAGAAAGGGGTAAGGCAGCCAAACACAGACGAGGCCCAGGTGAAGAACATGCGCTGTTTGAATACATGCAATGTAAAATACATACGCACCAGATAACCTGGCTTTGAAATACAGAAATAAAGACTGCTAGAACTAAAGGATGAACAAGCAAAATCCACAAGCGTAATAGGAAATTTTAGGAGATGCCTGGCTGGCTCAATTGTAGAGCATGCAACTCAATCTCAGGGTTGTAAATCTGAGCCCCATGCTGGGTGCAGAGATCACTTAAAAATTAAATCTTAAAAAAAATTTTTTTTTACACCTCTCATAGTAACTGACAGAGTACGCAGATGGAAAAAAAAATCTCTTAAGAATACAGAGAATTTAAATAGCACAACTACAAAGCTGGCCTAATAACCTATATAGAACGCTATACTTGACAGCATGGCTCTTTCCCATCTCACACGTACTGGGGTATAAAGCAAACCTCAGAGGATTTCAGAAATCTGGAATCATACAGCACCCACTGTCTAAGCACAGTGCGATCAAGCCAGGAAACGAGTAATGAAACGATGACTAGAAAATCCCATGCATCTGAAATTAACGACATACTTCTAGATAATCCATGGGTCACAGAAGAAAGACTACAAGCTGGAAATGTTTTAAACTGAATGACAGTGAAGAGCCTACACATCAGGACCTGTGGACATGGCAAAGCTGTATTTAAAGGGAAATAGCCTACATACGTAACTTAAAAAATCCACAGGAAGGTGTAAGGCTGAGAGAAGGAACACATGGGCCCAAGGCAAAGAGCAGGGAAAAGGGAGGACTACGCCAGCCCAGCTCACCTCATCACTTCGATGTAGCCCTTAGCAGCGGCCACGTGCAGGGCAGAGGCCCCCGTTCGGGGGTGCCGGGCCTCTGGCATGGCACCCCCGTTCAGCCAGCACCTGGTGTCATGAAGCAGTAATTCCTCCTCGGCCCGTTTGGCCGCCTCCACATCCACACCTGGGAGGACAAGAAGGGGCATTAGGTGGGACTCACGCCTCCAGCTCCAGGAGGCATGGGGCTGCGGCCCTGCCCGGTCCCTCTCAGTCGGCCTGCTCCTCTGGGACTCGGAGGACCTGGATTTCCCCACCTGGGTTCCAGGTCGCTGCTGGGAGCGGGGAGAACGGAGATCGCAGGCCTTCTCCCATTTCAACCAAAGTGCCACCTTTATCATTATCTTTAAGTATAAAACCTCAAGTTTACAGAGCAAACCCAGCGTCTGATGACATCTGACTCTCCCTAGCAACACCAGTAAAATCCTTAGCCCTGCATCTTCACGCACTTTGTCGCGACCATCTCTGTCACCCGTGAGGAGGGCAAACCAAGCCAGGAGCCACCAGTCACTGAGGTTACAGCTTCTTTCCTCCCCTGGAGCTAACTCCTGTTCACAGCCGTGCTGTCACCTAGGACAAGCTGGTGAGAGGCCAGCATGCTTCTCCATTGGTCATTTTCACCATTTCCTTTGGTTTCCTGGAAAAGTTGTACTGTATTTGTGGATGCAAAAGGCAAGTTATGACTTTGCACGTCAGTGGACTTTGGATCGAAACAGGCAGCCTGAGGCTGGAATAGTATCTGCTGACCATCACCGAGAATCCGCAGTGTGCACAGTATAAACCATTGAGACACGAGTCAAACATGGTCATTTCCAGGGAATGTCTCATCTTTCTCCTGCAAGTTGACTGGTGTCTACCGCTTTTCCAACTGCAATATCTCACACTCAACAAAGTGCTGCATGGAGCTCAGCCGTCCTGCTCAACAGCCGTCAGCCACACGCAGCTACTGAGCACATGAACCATACCTAGTCCGAACTCAGATGTGTCGTGAACGTAAAGTACACGCTGGATTTCCATGTGTGGGGGGGAAAAGAGCGTGCAACAACCCATGAATAGATTTTTTTTTTTTTTTTAGAGAGAGAGCGAGGAGAGCACGAGCCGGGTACAGGGAGAAAAAGAATCTCAAGTTGGCTCCACACCCGGCACAGAGCCCAACATGGGGCTCGATCTCACAACCCCAAGATCAAGACCTGAGCTGACATCAAGAGTTGGATGCTTAACCGACTGAGCCACCCAGGCGCCCCCTGAATAGTTTTCTTTATACTGGTTAATGCTGATATGATAACACCTTGGGCATATGGAGTTAAAGAAAATATATTATTAAAATTAATTTTACCTGTTTCTTTTTACTATTTTAACTGCACCTACTTAAAAAATTTCATTTATGCTCATGGCTTACACTGGCTTTCCACTGGACAGCACTGGCAAAAAAACCCCAGGGTACCACCACTTGGGTTTAAAACGTTAAAATAGGACAGAGACAACACACACCCCGTGTGCCCCTCAGCGATCTCACCTGCTCCCTGCGGCCCCCGAGGTCACCACCATCACAAACTTGGCTCTCGTGAACATGCATTTGGCTTTATCCTTACTATATATCCTGTAAACTTCTGCCCTGAGTCTACACACGGGATCCCAGAGTGCGCGGCCCACTGCAGCAGGAAGCCATCGAGATCCAGGGGCACGGCTGCGCCACCTGGTGGCACCTGGGCACTCGGGCCTTACGTCCAGCGCGAGCACCTCTGGGTCTCCAGTTTGGCAGGGACTCGGCTGCTTGGCAGCCGTTCAAGGAATGTTTAGTTGGTGAAGGCCCACCTGGAGGCCCAGGCCGGGGTGGAGAGGCCAGGGGAGTGCTGGGCACTCAGGGACACTCCTCATCCCACAACTTCCTTAAAGGGAATCCCCTTCAATCCTATTATAGACGTGTGTGCCTTCCTTGGGCAGGGAAGGGTGGGGCTTGCTGACCTTTTATTCAACCTTAGTATCCTTCAGCATGTTCATACACATCCTTCTGCAATCTGTCTTTTGGTGAGACCTGCCTGTGTTTATTGATGGAGCTCTTGATCAGGGGTGGCAAACCTGTCTGGTTTTTTACCTTGTTACGGCAATGGCAAGACAAAGGTAACGTAAAACGTGCCGATTTTGCTATTTTAAACCGTGCAATTCAAGTGGCATTTAGGAGATTCACAATGTGCCACCATCGACCCCCATCCATTTCCAGAACTTTCCCATCATCCCAAAAGGAAACCTCGTACCCGCGAAGCAGTCATTCCCTGTACCTCCCACCACCAGCCCCTGGCAACCACAGATCTACTTCCTGTCACTAAGATCTGCCGATTGTGGAAGGCATCTGTGTTTATAAATAAAGTTTTACTGGAACACAGCCATGCCCACCACTTACACATCGCCGCCAGCTGTAGTGGGGAAGCAGCCACGGGGGACAGTGGCAACACGACAGTACCTCCCACGACATCTCAAATGTTTCCTGGGTGGTCCTTCACAGAGAAAGCTTGCCAGCCCTGCTCAGATCATGCATGTACCGATTAGTGATTTATCCATTCTTCCTTTGGTGCCGGCCCCCGCCTCTCACGCCTGTTAACAAGATTCTCATCCTAGGGCGGGAGGGCCTGCCAGACGCTCCCCTCCTGCCCAGTCCTGTGTCCCCGTGGGCAAAGTGGCCGGAGGGTGCTGTGTGCACAGGACACGGTGGCCGGACTGTGTCCCCGAGGCCTGGCCTGTGGCTGGGGGCAGCATCCGCGGCATGTCGGGGCTGCTGCTGGCCTTGCTGGTATCTACTGTCCCTCCTTTGTAACGTCTTCACTATCCTCACCCTGCGTCCACCCCACCCAGCTCCAACGTGACTGCACCCACGGTGGGGCTCCGTAGGTGGCCACGTCACCAGACCTAACCACCCATCCCTCTTGCCCCAGTGACTGGCTCAGGGCTGGCTCAGACCGAGGCTGGCAGCTCAGACAACTGAGGAAGTCTAGTTCTGGTTCAGCTGGAGTATCAGCCTGAGCTGTTGGAAGCTGTGCTATGTACCCCGTTGAGAGAATCTGCCTATGAGGTCAATGCAGACTCCAGTGCAGTGATAGTTTTGACTTTGTACCCCTGGATCAAACCATGCCTGAAGCCTGCATAATTCCTGGATTTCAGTTACATAGCCCATAAATTCTTTTTTTTTTTTTTTTTTGACTGTGGTAAAAATACACATAGAAGTTACCATCTTAACCCCTTTTTAAATGCACAGTTCAGTGGTATTAAGTACGTTCACACTGTTGTACAACCACCACCACCATCCTTCTCCAGAACACTTACCTAGCAAAACTGAAACTCAGTCTCCACTAAACAGCAACTCCCCATTTCCCCCTACGCCAGCCCCTGGTGCCCCCTGTTCTACTTTTTGTCTCTACAGATGTGACCGCTTTAGTCACATTCCTCACGTAAGTGGAATCATACGGTATTTGTACTTCTTGTGCCTGACTTACCTCACTGAGCATGTCCTCAAGGTTCGTTCCCACTGTAGCGTGTGTCAGAATCTCTTGCCTTTTTAAGGCTGAACACTATGCCACTGTATGCACATACCACATATCGTTATCCATTTGTCCGCTGACGGACACCTGGGCTGCGTCCACCTTTTCGCTACTGTGAACAATGCTGCTGTGCACGCGGCTGTCCGAACGCCTCGGCGGCCTGAGCCAGGCTGCGGGGGCTCCCATGGCAGCCGCCGCCAAGCACTGCCCTGCAGACTACTTCTAATCACAAAGGAAGGAAGATGCCTCCACAGTGGAGTCACCTGGCCAATGCCTCTCCATGGGGTTCAAGGCTAACGTCAACAGCAACGGGCCAGACACACAGCGCCTGTCTCCGGAGTGACGCCCTGAGGAAGTTCCTGCCAAAAATGCAGACCTGAATCTCCTGGAGAAGCAGCCGCCCAGTGCAGGCTGAGGGACACGCTGTGTAAACGAGGCAGGGTGAGGAAGGCGAGGGGAAGCTGGGGGACATGAGGACCAAGGGCAGGCAGGGCATGGCTCCAGGAGGGCCTGAACGGGAGGGGAGGCCACAAGTAGCCAGTAAGAGCACAGCCTCAAGGTCCTCAAGGTCCCAAGGCCGACAGAGGAGTAACAATGTGACATCCCGTGTCCTTGTTGGAGGAGACACCAGCTCCCACGGCAGGATGGGGACACGTCTGCAACGTGTTCTCAAGATGGCTGGGAAAGAAGAGGGAGGCAGCCAGGAAGGGGAGAAAATGGGAAGGGAGGAAGGAGGGGGGAGCTATTTATGTAGAGTGAGGGGAGGGGGAGAGGCAGAGTGACTGCACATGTGCCAAAACGAGACAAACCGATCAATCTATACCGCGTGATTCCATTTGTACGAAACATCCAAGACGGGCAAGCGCATGGGGACAGAGAGCTGAGTGGTCTCGCAGGGCCGGGGGCAGTGGGGTGATGACTGAAACCCTGTAAAGCAACGTGCTGACGGACACACCACACTGAACGCACTGAAAGACCGGCGGACCACACGCTTGCACGGAGAACCATATGGGCTACGCACCACATCTCCACAGAGCTGCTAAAACGCCCGGCGAAGCCCAGTGAGGGTCACGTGGGCACTCCCCAAAGACTGCCCCAGCCTTTCTCCAAGTTTGAAGCTTTGGGAAGCTCATCTCTGCCTTAGCTTTGTGCAGTCCCCCTTCTAAGCAAAGCAGGGCGCCCTGACCCCAGCCGCCCAGCCCACGGGGCCCTCCCTTAACCTGCCCAAGCCAAGCCGGGATCTGGGTGTTACCTTCAAAGCCCCAGGGCCTGCCCTACAGCAGCCGCCCTGAACCTGCCACAGGGCCGTCCAGACCCCCAGACCCTGCACTCACACCTCAACGGCTGCCTCGCCGAACCCAGACCACACCCCCGACCTGTATTCTCTGCTTCCAGATCCATCAGGCCACAGCCTGCCCCCCACACCCCACGCATCAGCTGGTCCCAGACGGCTGTTCTGGGGGGAGTACGTTTGGTCGCAAGCCCCTCTGAGAACGTGCTAGAAACAACACGTTCTCTCTCGAAATATGACTGTGGCCATATGCAAAGTTTCGGGGAGTCCGGGGCCATACGAAAGACCACTGGGGTGCACTGACCCTGTGCGTGGCAAGGCCAATCCCCCAGGACCCTGCACGCCTCCACTCGCCCTCAAGAAGACAATCTCGCCCAGGGACCTCTGGACAAACCTCACCTCATTTCCTCACCTACTCAAGGGGTGAAGTGGCAACAGGGGTCACTGGCGGCTTGGGCTCTTATTCTGTGCCCAGCAGTGACCCAAGCACTGCATAGAATCGCTCACTTCATGTCACGAGCAAGCCTGGGGACAGGACTCACACCCCCACTGCACAGGAAAGGAAACCGAAGCACAGAGAGTCAGAGAATCCCAGGACGCGGAGCCACTGGCCTGTGAGCCCCGGCTGCCTGCTCCCCGTGCCCGCAGTCAGCACCCAGGGCCCACCTCGGTAGGCGATCTCCGCCTTCAGCAGCCCCTCCATGGCATCCGACTCGGCCAAGTCCAGGGGCAGGTCCCCATCGCTGTTGACTGCGGCAATGTTGGCCCCGTGGCTCAGGAGGTACCTGGGGGCAGGGGTGGCGTAGGGAGGTCAGGGCTGAGGGGGCTGAGCTCCGGCCCCCATGGGATCCCACATACCCACCCCTGCCTTACCTAGCGATGTCCAGATAACCACAGGAGGCAGCCACGTGCAGGGGCGTCCAGCCCTCGTTGTCTGCCTGGTTCACCGTGGCACCCTGCTCCACCAGGAAGCGCACCACCTCCAGGTTCTCATCGATGCAGGCCTGGGGTGCAGAGGACACGGCAGTCAGCCCTTGCTCCACCCACACACCTTGTGCCCAGCAGACAGGACTCCCGCAGGGGCCATGAGACAGATCCAGGGGACAAGCAGTTGTGACACTCAAGGGAAAGACCCTGATGTCCCTGGGACAGAGCCTGGAAGGCACCAGCCCTACCCCTGCAGGCCCCTTCACCCACCCAGCTACTTATGACACCCCCGTCTTCCCAAAGGTTAGGTCGTCAGCTGGGCATCTGGAGCTCAGCAGAGACCATGACAACAGAACACCCAAATTCCTACAAACAGGAATTGGATAAAGAGAGGAGAACTTTTCTCCAGGTTTAGAAATCCTGAATGGTGCTTTGTTAGATATGATATACCCCAGTCCCCATCAACAGGACGGGGCTTCCAGTAATGGATCCCTCCTCCCTCAGACCCAGGGGTCCAGAACGCCAGCCCCTCCTCCCTCAGACCCGGGAGTCCAGGCCCCCAGCCCCCTCCTCCCGCAGACCCGGGGGTCCAGGCCCCAGCCCCTCCTCCCTCGGACCCGGGAGTCCAGACCCCCAGCCCCTCCTCCCTCGGACCCGGGAGTCCAGGCCCCCAGCCCCCTCCTCCCTCAGACCCGGGAGTCCAGACCCCCAGCCCCTCCTCCCTCAGACCCGGGAGTCCAGGTCCCAGCCCCCTCCTCCCTCAGACCCGGGAGTCCAAGCCCCCAGCCCCCTCCTCCCGCAGACCCAGGAGTCCAGGCCCCCAGGCCCCCCTCCTCCCCCCTCAGACCCAAGAGTCCAGACCCCCAGCCCCTCCTCCCTCAGACCCAGGAGTCCAGGCCCCCAGCCCCCTTCTCCCTCAGACCCAGGAGTCTAGCCCCCAGCCCCTCTTTCCTCAGACCTAGGAGTCCAGGCCCCAGGCCCCTCCTCCCTCAGACCCAGGAGTCCAGACCCCCAGGTCCTCCCCCCTCAGACCCAGGAGTCCAGACCCCCAGCCCCTCCTCCCTCAGACCCAGGAGTCCAGGCCCCCAGCCCCTCCTCCCTCAGACCTAGGAATCTGGGCCCCCAGCCCCTCCTCCCTCAGACCTAGGAATCTGGGCCCCCAGCCCCTCTTCCCTCAGACCCAGGAGTCCAAGCCAACCCCTCCTCCCTCAGACCCAGGAGTCCAGGCCCCCAGCCCCTCTTCCCTCAGACCCAGGAATCCAGGCCCCCAGCCCCTCCTCCCTCAGACCCAGGAGTCCAGACCCCCAGCCCTTCCTCAGACCCAGGAGCCCAGGTCCCCAGTACCCCCCTCCTCCTCCCTCAGACCCGGGAGCCCAGGCCCCCAGTACCCCCCTCCTCCTCCCTCAGACCTGGGAGTCCAGGCCCCCAGCCCCTCCTACCTCAGACCTAGGAGCCCAGACCCCCAGCCCCTCCTCCCTCAGACCCAGGAGTCCAGGCCCCCAGCCCCCTCCTCCCTCAGATCCAGGAGTCCAGGCCCCCAGTCCCTCCAACCTCAGACCCAGGAGTCCAGACCCCAGCCCTCCTCCCTCAGATCCAGGAGTCCAGGCTCCCAGCCCCCTCCTCCCTCAGACCCAGGAGCCAGGTCCCCAGCCCGTCCTCCCACGGGCCCAGGAGATACACTCCAGGAACTGACCATGGCCCTGACTTGCACCTTGAGGCGAGAGGCCAGGCCCCTGAGGCCCAAGGCTGTGCAGGGCTGGTAAAGTCACCAAGTCCCTGGGAAGGTGGGGCAGAATGAGGGTCCTGGACAAGACTCCTAAAGGGGCAGAGATGGCTGAGTTAGCATGTGCCTAGAACCTGGGGCCCAAGACGCAGCTCCCATGCACTGAGGGCCTAACGCATGGAGTACTGTGCCAAGGGGTCCACACTTGGGAACACCCTCCCTGATCTTCCTGCTCTCAGGGCTCTGTACAGCAGAGGAAGAAATCAGTCTCAGGGAGACAGGAGCCCTGGCCCAAGTAGGCCCAGCAAGTGGGGACAGAGAAGGGATTTATAGTCCCGGGGCACATGTAAACACGGGGTGGGCACTGGGACCTGCGCTGGGTCAAGGGAAGGGGTGGGCCTGGATTCCTGGGTTCTCAGGGTAAATTAACCCCCCAACTCCCTCATCTCTCCAAAACCGCCCATCTGGAGAAGGGGGAGGAGGCCATGAGGGCCAAGAGCATGAAGTCATGGAAACTCGGGCCGTGAAAGGGGGGCCACACATGCCCTGGGAACGGGATGAACTCGGCTCCGTTTATTTCCACCCGGTTGTCATGGTGATGGGGGGGGCGGTTGAGGAGGGAGATGGGCCTTTCCCTTTCAAGGACCTGGCCAGGCACAGGAATCCATGTGAAAGATGCCCGAGGCCTGGGCACCAGGGATTCAAGAATCCAGACGACACCCCCCCTCACCCAGACCCAGGAGTCCAACCCCCACCCCCACCCCGACCCAGACCCAGGAGTCCCAGCCCCTTCCCCCCACCCAGGCTCAGGAGTCCCAGCTTGCATCCTCCCTATTCAGACCTAAGAACTGTGGCTCCCAATCCCTTCTACTCCAGACCCCAGACCTAGCCACTAATTCACAAGGCAATTTTGTGGAGAGAGGAGAGTCTATCAGCTTTACCAAGCGGTTAACTAACCCACCTGAAGCAGGCCCTGGGATTTGAGAACTCCTAGGCACACAACCAGGGCAGGGGCCTGATGCCTGGGGACCCACTCCAGGGAGGAGTCAGAAAGGAAACCACGGCCCCAGGACTCACCCAGACAAGGCCCAGGAGTCTGGGACAGGGGTTGCCTGAGACCTAGGACTTTCACTGCTAAAACCAGACCAGTCTCATGCAAACCACCATGAGTTGGTCACCCCACGCCAGGCCTGACCCAACCCCAGCTCTCCTGCTTGTTGGCCATGTGACCTGAGGCGGGAACTTCCCCTCTCTGAACCTCCAAAGCCCTAACCCTTCAGGCCTCCTGCAAAGTGAGTTTACCAAGTGCTTGCCTGGAGAGGGGAAAAGATTTCACCTGAAAAGGCAGCCTGATAGGCAAGGTCAGAGTGGCTTTTTGCAAGGGTCCAGGCCCAGGCGGATGCCGGGGAAGGGAGGTCAGCCTGAAGAGAGGACTAAGAGCCCCTGAGGGAAAGTCCAGGAGAGCCAAGGCATGGATGATGGCGGAGGAAGGGGGACACGGGAGCCTGAGGCCTCTCTCCTGGGCTTGCCGAGTACTCGGAGAACTTACAAGGCCTCGGGGAAGCCTTCCACCCAGAGGAGGAAGAAAAGTTCCCAGATAGCACTAGGGACTCTGTAGGGGACAGGTCTGGGGACTGGGAAAGAGAAAAAGGGGAGGGTTGGCGCTTAGACCAGGTGGCAGGAACTCCCCAGCTAAACGCCTACGCTACTTCCTGAAAGGATTTCCACACATGCGATCTCCCTCCTTCGCAAGAGCCCTGCCAGGGAGGGACAGACCGCTAGCCCTGCTGCACAGAAAAGGAAACTGAGGCACAGAATGGACAGTAACTCGAGGCCACAAAGCTGAGGAACTGGGATTAGAACTTAGGACCAATTCTGTTCTTCCTCAACTGCTCCTCTCCTCTTTGTGCAGACCTGAGAAGTGGACCTCTTCCAACATCCCTGCTTCCCCCACCAACCTGTCCTTCCCAGGGTCTTCTCTGGTTCCACCAATTACCAAACCCTGTGGGTTCTGGCAGGGAGGGGAGGACTGAGGACTGACCCGGGAAGGAGATGGTCTCAGGGATGAGACAGGGGGTGGACGCTCTTCCGTGGCCAGTCCTGTCCCTGGTGGTCCCACTGTGGGGGAATAGATAAATGCATCCAGAACCAGAGAGAATCCTGGGGCATGAGGTGGCCCCAGTTCTGGGACACAGAAACACCGGAGGCAACAATCAGTGAGTCTTGGAAAGGCACGGGGACCAGGTTGTGGAGGAGAGGACCAGCAGGGTTCTAGAAGCCTTGTGGAGGTGACATGATGAAAGCCAGAGAGATCACAGTGTATGGGGGAGAAGCTGCTCAAATGCACAGGAGAAGGCATCAGGCAGAGGAAGCAAGATGACCAAAGATAGAAAGGTGGGTGCTTTGAGGTTCCCCAGAAAAAGGGCAAGGATACAGGCCTACCCAAGGGAAGGGGCGGGAGGACGAGGAGGTGCCTGGAGAAGGACAAAGGTCCCCCACACGAGGCCTACTGTGGGAGACAAGAGGTGGCACAGCCTCCGGAAAGAAAATGCAGACGGTATCGGAGTGGAGTTAGGATGAGGTGACCCAGACGAGGAAACCAAGCCTGAAAGAAAGTGGCTCAAGAAAGAGCATCCTCACCCAGCAACTGATGGCACTGCCCCAAGGTGGGGAGGAATAGGGAAGGAGCACGAATCAGAAAGCAGCAACACGGAAGATCTGGGCCTAGCCAAACAGGTGGCCCGGGGCAGGGACCAAGGGAGGAAGCCCCAGAGGCGCCAGAGAGAGGGGAGGATGCTGCTCAGTGAGAGCGGTACCTGCCTGGGAAGGGGAAAGTCAGGGGGCCAGAGGGGGCAGACGAGACTAGCGAAGCGCGCTCAGGGTCGGGAGACGGCGGCGCGACGTGACAACGACAAGGACCGGTGGCGTGGAGCAGACTGAGGCTGTCAGCAGTGGCTCGGGTCCAGAGAGTGGGCGGCGCAGGGTGGCAAAGACCAGGGCCGGTGGAAGAGGCTCAAGACTGGAAGCGGGGAGCTCGAGGTGGGTGGAAGGGGAAGGCGGGGGTGCAGGACCAGGACTGGCAACCGTGACTCAGGCTGCGAGGACGTCCGAGGAGGCTGGACCCAGGACGGGCCAGGTCCCGGAAGGGGCCGGGGCGCTGACCTGGTGCAGGGCGCTGATGCCGTCGGCGTTGGTGGAGTCGAGCACGGCGCGGGCGGGCGGCGGGGCGGCGGGGTCGAGCTCGGCGCCGGGGCCGGGGTCAGCCGCCCGCAGCATCAGGCGCGCCTCGTCCAGGTCGCCACACGCGCAGGCCGCCAGGAACTCGGCGGCGCGCTCGAAGCGCACGGTGCGGGCGCGCCGCTCCCCGGGGCCCGGCTCGGCGCCCGCCCGCGCCCCCCACTGCCGCAGCTGCTCCCGCCGCCGTTCGCGGGCCGCGGCCGCGGCCGCCCCCGGGCCGTCCTCGCCGGACATCGCGCCGCCCGCCCGCCCGGTGAGCGAGCGAGCGAGCGAGCGCCTAGCCCCGAGGAGCCGGAGCCGGAGTCGCCGCCGCCGCCCGCCAGGGGCCGCCGGGAACTGCCGCTGGCTCCGCGCCGCCCGACGATCTGTCTGTCCCCGCCCGGCGCGCCGACGTCAGCACGCCGCCCCGGGGCGCGCCGGGAAATGGAGTCCGCAGGCGGAAGTTGCTAACGGCAACTGGCCTCGCTCCGCCCCGAGGCACACTGGGAAGTCAGCCGCCCTGAAGCGACGGGGGGAGGGTTGGGGTGGGGGCGCGCTGGGGAACGCAGTGCTCGGCTCCACGGGACCCGGGAGTCGGGACGCCTATAACGCTCATTTCCCCATGTCACTCTTTACTGTGGGCTCTTTGGTCTGCTCCCTTCAACCAGAAATACGCGGCCGGAGGACCAGGACGTTTGTCTTCCGTGCGCCCTCCTTATTCCCAGCGCCCGGAGTGGAGCCTAATGGGGCGCGACCTAAATGAGTTTTTGCATGAATAAGTGAATCAGTGGATGCCCGAGGTCACGGGAAACACCAGGGCGCCCCGCAGCCCAGAGGTCCTTCAGGACGATCCAAGTCCCTGCTCCGCCGGGTGACCGCCCGGGTCCTGATGGGAGACAAAGTGGACAGAGGTCACGGCCTTCGGCCCGCAGCCCCAATGCACGCCGGGAAATGTAGTCCTCAGGGCCACGCCCCTAGAGGCACAGTGGGTACTAGGCAGAACCCCAAGCACCCAAAAAATCCAGGCCCAAGGGCAAGGGGAGTCCGAAGTCCCTCATGGTAACCCCCTAGATCACATCGGTGAAGATGCTCAAGGGGTGGGGTCCACAGTGACAGCGCCCCCCGAACCTTCATGAGCCCGCACTTCTCCCGCTCGCACCCTGGGACGTGGAGCACGCTGGGAAATGTAGTCCAGGCTCTACATCCTCGCAAGCCAGGCTGGAATTTGTAGTCCTGGGTGAGGCGTTCCACGTAGCATTTTAAAGCATGAAATGATCCTCTCTTTAAGTGTCCTGCAGCTAAATCCTGGCTAGGGGAGATGCAGGCAGTTTGAGATCGGATCAAAGAGCGGGAAAAATAGCCAGAAAGGCGCTGAAGTCTGGATAGAGGCAATAGCCTTTTTTCCCTTTTTTCCCCAAGGGCTGTTGGAGGAGCCTACCCTCTCAAGTCCCTGGGCCTGTAGGAGGAAATAAACTACGAATCCCATGAGGCCTGGAGAACGCTGGCCATAGATATAAAGGGAATGGGAGCCCCGGTGGTTCTTGGGATGTGTAGTCCCTGAGCCCCACGTTTCCCACACAGGTCCACACCCAGCCTCCTTTACCAGAGAGCTTAAATGACAATTAGTAGGTCATCCGTTCGTTGTTACGTGTGCTTGTGTGTGTTTCAGTGCCTGTGCACAACTGTGACACCTTATAACAACTGTACTTGCGATCCTGTGTGTGCCCGGGTGAATGCTATTTATAGGGGCTCATGTTTTATTACGTCTGTAAGTGTCCATGTAAATAGGTCTCTATGTTTTTGTGACTGTAATTGTTTATCTCGGGTATCTGCTCAACCCACACAACAAAGTGTGAGACGCGTTCCCACCGTCAGCTCAATTAGCAATCTTTACACTGACTGCAGAATTTAGACTTTAGCCTCTATTTTAAAATTCTATTCTGCTGCACTGGTGAAGAATTCCAGGTCTGATTTAAGCAGTCATGCGTTTGACACTTTGTTTCTGCCCACTTCCTCGCTGCGGGCCTGGGGCTAATCTCTGCCTCCTGGAGTTGTCCAGAGTGTAAGTAAGGTATCTAATAGGCTGTATGCAGACATTTTCTTATTCCACTCGTTAAAACTCTCTTCTTCCCTTTGCTTTTCCATAGTGAACCTTTTTTCACTTCCCAGGCCTATTTTCTCTCAGTGCTAACACTGGAATTGCAACGCTTAACCTTAAAACTGCAGGCAGAGCAGCAAATGGGCATTGCTTCGACACCGAGAGTGGATCTTCCTCCGTGTGCCACTTGACACATTGTTTTGTTTGGGTTGGTCTGCATTTTAAAATTCAGATTTGATGGGGAGGGCACGTTCTGCATGGAGCACTGGGTGTTATGCACAAACAATGAATCATGGAACACTACATCAAAAACTAATGATGTAATGTATGGTGATTAACATAACAATAATTTTTAAAAAATAAATAAAATTCAGATTTGATTCACACCGAAAAAAAAAAAAGCCTGTTTAAAGTGTACAGTTCAGGGGGTGCGTGGCAGTCTCTCTCGGTAGAGCATGCAATTTGATCTCAGGATTGTGAGTTCAAGCCCCAAGATGGGCGTAGAGATCACTTAAAAAAATAAAATCTTTTTTAAAAAGTGTACAGGGGGCGCCTGGATGGCTCAGTTGGTTATGCGGTGCACTCAGCTCAGCTCAGGATCCCAGGGTCCTGGGCTCGAGCCCCCCTGATGGGCTCCGTGCTCAGCGGGGAGTCTGCCTCTCCCTCTGCCTGCCGCTCCCCCCGCTTGCGCTGTCTCCCAAATAAATAAAATCTTTTTTTAAAAAAAGGGAGTACAGTTGAATGGCTTTTTATATTCACAAGGTTGTGCGTGCCACCATCACTAGGAATTCCAAGCATTTTCAGCACCCCCTTCCTGCCCTTCCCCAGCCCCTGGAAGCCACCGATCTCCTTCCTGCCTCCATGGATTTGCCCTCTGGACAATTCGCACACATGAAATCACATAATCTGTGGCCTTCTGTGTCTGGCTTCGTTCAGCGAGCCCCATGATTCTTCGAGATTCGTGGACATCACAGCGCGTGTCAGGACCTCGCCCCGGAGGAACATCGCCTGGTATCACCCGCCAGCTGGTGGACATTTGGACTGTTTCCACCTTTTGGCTGCTTTGAGTAATGCCGCTGCCAACATCTGCGCCCAGCGTGCGTGTGGACTGACCTCTGTTTTCACTTGTGGCAGGCAGATCCGCAGGAGTGGAATTACCGGGCCCTACGGTAACTCCGCGCTTAGCTTTTTGAGGAACTACCAGCCTGGTTTCCAAAGTGGCCGCACCATGTTGCGTTTCCTGCGGCGGAGGGTTCAACGTTACCTGCCACCGCAGTGACTGTTAGGGCTCTCCAGGCACTAAGTCAGATGAAGCCCGGAGGCTAGGAGTAATGACCGCCAGAGAACTCAGCAGGTGTCTGCAGGGGGCGCGTTTATTTCAACCACAGAGGGGACCCACACTCCATCCAACACCTCAGGGCACGCACAGCCCCAGGTCCTCACTTCCAGCGTCCTCCAACGCGGCCCTTCCCTGCCCCCTTCCGGCTGTAGGAGAAGAGGGAGAGGGTGTCAGGAAGGAAGGGCTCCCCCAACCTCTGAGATGGGACCTGCCCTCAATTCAGAAGTCTGCCCCCACACACACACACCAAATTCCCGCTCTCCCTGCCCAGAGGAAGGGGCAGGCAAATGCGTCCTCTGTTGACTGGCTGGGGTGGTGTGGTTGATGGTCTGGGGCCAACCCCCACCCATCTGCGGGAGCTGATGTTGGGAGGTGAGCTCAGGGTGTTCCCGTGGGAGCTGATGGATGTTTAGGACAGGCTGGGGGGGAAGGGAGGGATGGGTGACGGAGAGTGGGTAACATGGAAGAGGGGCCAAGGCTGAGGTGAAAGAGACGCAAAGTGGGAGACAGGGATAGATGAACAGCGAGCAGGAGAAAGGGAGCAGGGAGAGGCAGAGCAAGAAACAGAAGTGACGCGCGGTTCTCAGCCTGTTGACATTTGGGGCAGAGGCTGTCCTGGGCACTGCATGGTGTGGAGGGGTGAGGGGAGCCACAGGGAAGGAGCGACAAACCCCAGAGTCAGAGGAGGCACACTTACAACTTCTGGGCGTGGCTGATGCGGTTGTACAGCACGTTGATCTGCGCGGGAAAGGGGGAGATGCTGGGAGGACAGCCACGGGGACACACCCGCCCGCCCCTGCCCTGCGCCGCCGTCCTCCCTGGGAGATGGGTCTCACCTCATACTTCTGCTGCTTCAGCTTCTCCATCAGGTCAAACTTCTCGGACTCGAGCTGGTGGATCCAGTCCGACAGCTCCTGGGCCTTCTCCCTGGTAGGGCGGACGGGCTGTCAGGGGGAGGGCCGGCCTCTCTCAGCCCAGAGAGAACCGCCCAAAGCCATAGGGCCAGGCTCGGAGTGGGGCATCACTGCTGCCATTTCGTTAATATCCGAGGCCAAAATATTCAAAGTGAATGGAAGGAAAGGGTTTATTAATCTCTGCCCGCTGTCTCCACATTCAAAGTTCCTACTTCCCTAAGGGAGAACAATGTCATGGTTAAGGACCCACACTCTGGAGTCAGGAAGCCCTGTTTCAAACCCGAGCTTTGCCATTCTCTGGTTTGTGACTTTTGCCAAGTAAAGAGGATCCTGTCTCCCTCTCCGTAAAACTGTGGCTGCCTGCTCTACACCTCTTCTCCCGTTCTTCCTTAGAAACAACATCTTGCGGGCGCCTGGGTGGCTCAGTCAGTTAAGCGACTGCCTTCGGCTCAGGTCATGATCCTGGAGTCCCAGGATCGAGTCCCGCATCGGGCTCCCTGCTCGGCGGGGAGTCTGCTTCTCCCTCTGACCCTCCTCCCTCTCGTGCTCTCTGTCTCTCATTCTCTCTCTCTCAAATAAATGAATAAAATCTTTAGAAAAAAAAAAAAAAAGAAACAACATCTTGCGATAGGCCCAGTTAAAAAGCCACTGTCCCAAATCTCCCGTGCAGGTAGGGTGGCCAATGGGATGAAAACAGTTCTCTGGGTAGGGCTTCCCAGAGCCTTTTGAGGCTCTTTCCATGCAACTTCTTCCTGCTGCTTGGATGTGTTGGCTGGACCCCCAGCAGCCTCATTGGACCACGAGGTGATTTCGAGGATGGAAATATCGGGCTAAGTGTGGTGGAGCAGAGAAACAGGAGTCTGGGTCTCCAGTGATTTTCTAGACTTTCATACCAACTAGTCTCACATTTCTCCTCTGTGGGAAAATAAGTCTCTGTATTTTAGGCTGCTATGAACAGGTGTCTTCACTAGAGGCCGAACTTAACTGATAAAAATCTAT